AAAAATGTATTATTTATATAAATTTTGTCAATATTATATTTTAAGTTAGCTAACCTGTATATTAGGAAATCCTAATTCAATAAATAAAATTAAAAAAAAAGAAGTGTCACCACTTCACCACACCCAAACATTCCACTGTTTTTTATGAAAAATCATTCACATATCAAGCTGCTATCATTTTCGATATATATATATATACGAGGTCTGTTCGAAAAGTAAGGTGAATGTTCAAATTTCGCGGGCTACGTACATTTGATTAGCGATTTTTTATGTTGGAACACTCGTCTCGAACATTGTTCACAGTTTCAGCTGTTTAGCATGTTCAGTTTGTTGGTGGGAGACATAAAAGTTAGAAGTGTTTTGCATGTTCAGCGATTATCTGATATGGAAAAAATTAATCAAAGAATTTGCATAAAATTTTGTGTAAAAAATGAAATTGAGTGCTCAAAAACACTCGAAATGTTGACAGTGGCATACGGTGATGGTACTCGAGTCAGAAAAATGTTTACAAGTGGTACAAGCTTTTCACAGAAGGTCGAGAAGATCTGATGACGCTCGCCTAAGACGTCCAAGAACATCAACAATCGATGAAAATGTTGAGAAAGTGAAGAAAATTGTTATGGAGAATCGTTGAATCACTATTAGAGAAGTTTTTCCGGAAATTTTCGGACATAAAGTGTGTGGCAGCGAAGTTCGTTCCAATTTTGACCAAAAAAAAAACGTAATGGAGATCCAGATTTGCTTAAAAGGGTCATAAATAGCGACAAATCATTGGTATATGGTTATCACAATGGAAGAGTCCAGGAGAGCCAAGACAAAAAAAATCACGCCAAGTTCAATCAAATCAAGGTTTTGCTCTCTGTTTTCTTTGATTACCGTGGCGTAGTGCACCTGGAGTTGTTGCCACTTAGTCGTGTGGGAGTGTTATCTTGAAGTTATGTGCCGCCTGCGAGAAGCAGTACGAAGAGAACGTCCAGTATTGTGGAAAAACAATTTATGGCTTTTGCATCACGAAAATGCACCTGCTCACTCATCATTGCTTGTTCGTACTTTTTGGCCAAAAACAACATGGTAATCATGCCTCAGCCACTGTATTAACCAGATTTGGCCCCCTGCGACTTTTTCCTGTTCCCAAGATTGAAGAAACCTATGAGTGGACGGCGCTTTGCGACGATTGAGGAGATAAAAATGAATTGCTAAGAGAGCTCAAGGACATACCAAAAAATACAGATCAGAACTGTTTCGCGGATTGGAAAAAACGCTGCCACAAGTGTATTGAATATGAGGGGATCTACTTTGAAGTGAACAAAATTGAAATTGATGAATACATATTTTTTGAGAAAAATTAAAACCTTACCTTATTTTTTTATCAGACCTCGTACGTGTAATATGTACCTAATGCTGGTTGAGTGGAAGGGTAGCGTAAGGAAAGCTCCGCCAGTAAAAATGAAGACAATTTACTTTATCTTTATTATTTCATTTCTTTATTTAATTTTAATTTTTTTAGTTCACAAGGTGGTTGGAAAAGAACATTGTTGAAGCGGAGAACTCTGACGAAAGGGTGGCGATTCTGAATAGGATAATAGAGATAATGATAGCTTTAAATGATATAAATAATTTCAATGGAGTTCTGGCAATTGTATCGGCTACTAACTCTGCTTCAGTTTACAGACTGAAATTCACCTTTGGTGTAAGTATGCTTTGAAGTTACTTTTTCTTGTATAAATATTTTTTCTGGCTCTTAGGCTTTGAATCAGCAGATTCGCAAGACTTTAGAAGAATTTAGATCAGATGATCATTTCAAAAAATATCAAGAAAAATTGCGTTCGATAAATCCACCCTGTGTTCCTTTTTTGGGCATGTATTTGACAAATATTTTACACATTGAGGAGGGCAACCCGGATTTCCTTCCCAATACACAGCTTATCAACTTTTTCAAACGTAGGAAAGTTGCTGAAATCACCGGAGAAATACAGCAATATCAAAATCAGCCTTATTGTTTTAGCAAGGAACAGAGCATTATGGTAAGTTTGTAAGTTTCAATATTTTCCAGTTGAATACATTGTTAAAGAGTATCAGAAAAAAATGGGCGGACGGGTAACATAATATTTAAATCTGGATCATTGCAATAAATCTTTTTTTCATATTTTTCAGAATTTCCTCGAAAATTTAAATCCTTTTGGTGATATGAATGACAACGATATTAGCAATTATTTGTGGAAAAAATCTCACGAAATTGAGCCGAAAGGATGCAAGATCGTACCTAGGTTTCCCAGGAAGTGGCCAAATTTGAGTTTGAAGAGTCCTGGAATCAAGACTATCAAAACAGGAAAGAATATACCTAGTACCATTGCTAATACAGTAAATCAAGCATATAATACAACATTGAAGAGTGATGAATCAAAAAGTGAAAGTTCGTCCAAATCAGACAATGATTTCAGTGTTTTTGCATCGGTGAGTAGAATAATATATCAAAGAGGGTAAACTTTCAAGGCCGGAAATCCAGGTTTTTTGGCCGTGGTCTGTATGTTTTCATAAACGTCGCGTCTACTACTGCAAAAGACATTGTCAAAGGTAATGAGTTCTCAATGCAGAAACTACAACTTTGAAATTTGTCTCCTCCTTTATATCATCATAAGTGGCTTAGTTTTTCTTAATTGGATTGAATTATCTTGTTAGTGTACAATTGAGAAGAGGTAGCCAGATTTTACTAATGTTCATTGCCTATTTTTATTGACAAAAAAAAACTATCAGGGAGAGTCTAAGGTCAGCTAAGGACTACGGAGAGCCTTTAGCAATATCCGTGGTATACCGGATCCCTTGTACCTGCGGGTCGGTTTACATTGGAGAAGTATAGGTATCGTTCTCTCTGAACACAAGAGAAATTGTTGCCTCGGGTGAACTGCCAAATCAGCTGTAGCCAAACAAGCTCTCAAAGAAATCAGTCATATTATCTTATTTGAAGATGAACAAATATTCAATATAACTGAAAATCACTATCCAAGAATATATAGAGAGGCAATGGAAATTTAGAAACATGGATAATTTCAATAGAAAAGAATTAGCAATGAACAGTAATAAAATCTGGCTACCTGTCCTTTATTGTACACAGACAAGGTTAGGTAATCCAATCTAGAGAAACGAAGCCAAGGGCACCTATACTAATATAAAACCGGAGACAAATTCTAACATTGTAGTTTTTGCGTTGAGAACAACTCAAGTACTTGATAATGTCTTCTGCAGTGGTAGAATAAACATCAGTCATGAAAACCTGCAGACCACAGCTAAAAAACCAGAGAAACTGAATTTCATGAAATATTTCTTGAACATCATTTCTGCTTTCTTTGTAAATGAGCATGTGCAGTAATTGGAAATTCTATCAATTAGGTTGGCACTGCTGCCAAATTTTTAGCCTGATTTTCACTGACAATTCTTATGTGAGTAGTAAATTGAATATGTTTCATATTGAATTTTTTTTTCAGTTGTGACAAATTGATGAAATATTATTTCAATGATCCAGAAATTCACTAGTATTTATGTTGTTCAATGAAACTTTACTCATCTATTACTATTATTTCACCAGAGTGAAATGACAAGCAGACACTCCTGTTAACTGTTGGGCTCAAATCTACCTACTTCGCATTGGAAACCAATTTTTTTTGTGTATGTTATTTTTATAAAGAATCCATATGATGTTGACATTGTCATAGAAAGATGATACACCTAATAAAATAAAAGATTCGTATAAATTGAAAGATAAGTCAACATTGAAGATTGCAATAAAATGAAGATAAACAAACATAATTGCTGTGACAAAAACTCGATAGAATAAAAACAGTTTTCTAGTAAGTGTGCCTTTGTTTTTGCCTCGATTTGGCATAAATATTCTTCAAAAACTGACAATTTGTTATAAAGAGATATAAAGTTGTAGAAGTAGATTTTTTATGTCTATAATAAAATTACTGGAATCAATGTGATGATCTTTGATTGGAGAATTGATCCTTGATTGGAGAATGGGGAATGTTCCTCAATTTGGGTTATTACAGCAAATGCAAGTTTGAACAAAATAAAGTTGAGTTTATTTCATGAGTTTTTCAAATTCACTTTAAAAAGTATTCAAATTGATGTTTCAAATGTTGGGTTTTAATTTTTAAAGGGATTTGTTTCTAATTCACATATTGGCAACAGCGCCTATATCAAATTGAAATAATTTATACGTACCTAGATATTCTATTTTAAAAAAGGAAAATTATCTTTATAAGTCAACAATCAAGGCAAAATATAAATTATAGTTCAATACCACCTCCACAAGCCACATAAACAACAGTTGTTTTGTTATTTATTTATATAGAGGAAGATAGGTTAGGTGCACAAAATGTCATATCACAGAATGTCTCGGAACATAAGTAAACAGAACAGCACGCCTCTGAAATATGTCATCTTTGTTTCTCTCATACAGGTAATAGATTCATTGTCCTTTATTAGCTATAACCGATGTTGCCGAATGGTGAAATAGAAAAGAATCCTTTTAAATGTTGAATGCATTATTTCATTCCTCTTTTTTAAGTATTTAAAAATTTTTAAAAAGAAAAACGTTGAAATGATAAGTTTAAAATGCGTTGTTTTAGAGCTCTTTTATGAAAACTACTTGATTTTTGCCAGGAGAAATATTCCCCATTGGTTATATGACTTGAGAAGTGGACACATCTTCGGTATTTTTTTGATAACGGTTATTTGATGAATTACTGTAAGAAAATGCTCAATATAAGTGAAATAATCGTAATAGTTGAATGAAGTGTCTTTAAAAAATAGAAACACTATTTTTAAGTCATATTTTTAATTGTGAAACGTTGAATCAAGTAATTGATTTATTAATCTGCCATTTGGTATATGAATCCCTGGTGTACAAATCTTGACAATCAAAATTAGGTTCGAGTTTATGTCTTCTGAAGTAACACTGTATTTATTAACCTGGTAATTTCTAATACAATTTCAATACAGGTTCAATTGGGAACAGGCCAAAATAGTCCAACGCTGAGTCCTGTTTCCCCTGCAGGATCTAATCCCATTATAAGCTGGTTTAACCATACTAGAAGTCCGAGTGTCAGTTCTATAATGTCCACCACATATCGACCACCTAGAGCTGACTCCATAGCTGCGGCACCACAACATTTGTAAGTATTATCAATGTTTGAGAGAAAATGGCACAGTTCAGCTGTTGAATTTCTTGAGATCTAGAGAATTGAAAGTCACTGAGTTCTGAAGACCAAATTATTAATCTCTTGAAAAATTGTTTCAAATCTGTTTTTTTGTTAATCAGCTGTCACCCTCTTGTGAATGACAATCCTTAGAAACTTGTGCAAGATAAGAATGTACAATAACTAGCACGTTTATTCATTTACCAATAGGAAAACCATAATTGAGTTCACAAGGCATAAAACTAATACCACAAAGTAATTTGTTTAAACAAAATGTTGTATGATAATTGCTATTTGGAAGTAAGTCTATGGCCAGAAATCCGGTTTAAAAAAACACTTCCAGTATTCACTATAAAATTCACATGATGAAATTGAAGAAATGCCGAATTGGTCACCATTTGAATTTGTGAGGCATATGACATTTGCAGCAGACAGCGGATATGCTGCCCCCAAAAAATCAAAACACCTAGAGCTCTTTTTTTGATTTGGGTTCTCAGCTTGCAAAAAAATTGAGTCTCAAATATAAGCAGAAAAAAGTCAACCAGATGGATTATATTTTTTACTTGAATTAAAGCAGTTCTGTCAACAAAAAATAACTATTTGATTAGATTGTTTTGTAGCTAAGGAAACACTTTGACACATGAACTGTGGACAAATTACAATTATCACTACACACTTTCCAACAAAGTATTGAAAGAAATGGGAGTGTGTTCTTCATATGGTGCTATCTAAACTACCAAACATATATTGTGTAATTCAAGCATGATTATCAAGAAATGAAGAAACATCAGTATAAATTTTATAATTCTAGGCCGCAGAGATACAGTCACAACAGTCAAAGTTCAACAGGTGGACCAAATAGTCCTGGCCCTCATAGTCCAGCTTCGCCGGGACCACACATACCTTGTGAACCGATCAGCCCCCGCCTTCCACCAACTCCACCTCCTCCACCGCCTCCTCTGCCTCCAAGGAGAAGAAGGGACAGTCCGGAAATCAGTTCGCCACAGCAAGTAAGAAGTAGTTAAAAAAAAACATTTTATGAAATTCAGAATGTTAATGAAATTTCGGTCTGATAAAATAAATTTTTATGTCAACAAATGGGAAAGTTCATAAATATCGGTAGGTTTTTCACACAAATTGAAATAACTGAACCACCACTTGATATTATCAATAATTATCTGTATGAAAACTCGTAGTATATCTATATGGATCCATTAAAATATTGGGTCATTTCAAGAGTTTTAATACATTTCATGAGTCTACTTTAAACTGTAATATCTCAGTGAATACTTAATCAATTTGATCGAAGTAAGCTCCATTTGATTCTGCACTTTTGCCAACTTAAAACAAGTTGATCAATTCCGTCAACATAAAAATTGTGTGTTCGGGATCGGATGAAGTCTACGAAGGCGGTTTTCTACCGGTTAGATAAGTATCGAAATGCTCGAAACGATTGTAGTCGCTCAATTCATTTAATTTTCGTATGGTGATTTGTGAAACGTGCGGACGGATGTTGTCGTGAAGCAGGATCGGACCTCTTCTCTTGACCAGTGCTGGCTGTTGCTGACGCAATTTTTGGTATATTTTTCGATTTTCTCACAATGGGTTAGGTTGGGTCCACGGTGAGTGGGTCTATTCGACCCTCCACCGCAACCCGCAAGGGTTTATTGTGGCTCACACCCACTCACATTCGGCCAAATAAACCCAGCTTCTTAACGAAGCCGAATAGTTTGAATGGTGAGTAGTCTTTCAGGTCAGATGGTAAAATAGTACAGCTCTGCCGAACTCTAAATAACTGATTCGGACCCCAGCGAGGCAGGCACAAAGTATATGCTATGTTAATGAGGTAGTCGGATAGCCAAGTTGCAAGATTCCCACCTTGATACCCACGACAATCTTCCCATATGAGGGTTTTGCACCTGACGATGCCTTAGATTCAGCCGTACAGGGCTTTTTCGTCTCTGGTTTTGGTGAATCATTGCTAACCTGCTCATGGGGGGTTTGTTCCCCCACCTGAGACAGATTCTGCTTACGCCGCAGCTCTCGCTCCTGAACTAAATTTACAGGGAGATCAGTTGGAGTTGTAAACTCGACATCCATCTCCTCTGTAGACTCACTCCTGAACTAAATTTATAGGGAGGTCAGTTGGAGTTGTAAACCCAATATCCATCTCCTCTGTAGACTTACTCCTGAACTAAATTTACAAGGGAGGTCAGTTGGAGTCGGAAACTCGACATCCATCTCCTCTATAGACTTACTCCTGAACTAAATTTGCAGAGAGGTCAGTTGGAGTTGTAAACTAGACATCCATCTCCTCTGTAGACTCGCTACTGAACCAATTTTAGAGGGAGGTCCGTTGGAGTCATAAACTCGACATCCATCTCCTCTGTAGACTCGCTCCAGAACTAAATTTACAGGGAGGTCAGTTGGAGTCGTAAACTTGACATCCATCTCCTCTGTAGACTCGCTCCTGAATTAAATTTACAGGGAGGCCAGTCAGTTGGAGTCATAAGCTCGACATCCATCTCCTCTATAGACTCAGCGTCAGAAAGAATTTTTGAGTTTACTCTGTCCATAAAAGTCCCACGAGTAGCTAGGGAAAGAAGGTCAATCACGGCAGAGCTCCGCATTACCGTGACAAGGCGATGCTACGACGAGAGGGCGCCCGGTATCTCGAAGGTTCTGTAGGGGCAGCTGATAGGCTCAGTGTCATTCATCCTCTCGGCACGGATACACACACCTTAGTATTAAGTCATCGTTGGGATGCCATTCAGCTAGGGAATAACAGAACCACAAGTGATTCTGTCATTCCCGTATCCAGTGGGGCTATGTGGAAGCAGGCATCCGATGGCCGGTTTGCTCAACCCCCACATCCCAAGCCAAAGCACTAGCCGAAAACGGCATGCACAGTGGCTCAGGCAGTGATATACAGTAACCATGGTCTTTTTTTAGTGGGTTTTCGCCTTCGGAAGGAGCCTGGATGGCTCATCGGAGTCTTATCATTGTTCTGAACGTCTCCTATTGTCGTAGAGGATCAACTTTTTTTTGGTTGCCTAAAAGCAATTTCTGTCGATCGTTCAAATCGTGGGGCATCTCCTTTTCAAGCTTTTTGACATTTCCAATACATTTTCAACAATCAAAAACCGCATGGAAGCTGACGCTCAGTTTTTCCGCCATCTCACGCACCGTTTGTGATGGGTCAGTCTCCACCAGGGCCCTCAAATCCTCGTCCTGGATTATTATAGGTCGACCATTTCGGGGCTTATCTTCGAGACATTTAAACTATTATTGCTAAATGCCCAAATCATTTTGCGGTGTTTTGACAGTGCTTTAGTTCAATTGCATTTGCATAGAAAATCGCTCGAAATAACTGAAAATTGGTAAAAAATTGAAACTTTGAAAAAATGAACAGTGCCAATGTATAAAGTACAAAATTCTCTATCGATCAGTAAACACCACGACACAGTGAAATATTGAGATATGGAGCTACCAAAACACATGACATTACAACGGACAAAACTTCTGAGACAACCTAAAAATTTTTAAAACGGTGTTCCTATTACAAATGATATAGACTGGATCACTTGATGTCATGTTGATGGGTTGTTTACTCCTAACATACTGCTTTCTTCAACTTTGTATGTCGATCCAAACATTTAATGGCCTTTTAGTTTCACTGATTATAACATGTCACATCCAATTTTCCTGATCCTCTTTTTACATATATGAGGAAGAGACACAGAACTCATTATTCATTCTGGTCAATGTTATGTTATAATGGTCTTAAGGAATTTAATCATTTACAGAGAAATATTAAAACTGTAGATATTAAACAAATCGGTAATAAATGAAAGACTTATTAAGTAGACCCTTTTGTGATTTTGGAGAATTTTATGGAGGAGCTTTTTCATTTCTAACATTTTTTATACTCTCTGTAAAATTTTTGACAATATAACAGTGGCCTTGTTCACGTCGTCATCTTCACCAAGAAATGAGTAAGACAATCGTATTTTGTTTCTATTCGGCCTTCATTGAAAAATAGGCAATTGGATAAAACCGGAGACCAAAGTTGCGGAAATCCTAAATGAAACAGTGCTGTTTTGTTTTTAGACAACTGATCCCATACATTACATGTATTCACTGTATTATGTTATTCATGCATTTACATGCTGGTAAATAGATGATCTTGATACTCTATCAAGATGGAGTAGTAGAAAGCCAAAAACTTTCTTTCCCATGAATATCGAAATAACTGCCTTTATCTTCAAAATTGAACAGGTTCAAAACTTCACTTTCAAATGAGTAAAAATTTCATGATGATCTAACCAAAATGCACAGTAGAATGTAAATTCTCAAACTTTTATCTTGGCTTTGGCAATTTGCCTGCGAGTAAATTTCAACTTGAAAAATCATAGTAACACTATTTTAACAATTATTTGGTGGTGAATGTATCTATATAATTTTTCAGATGAAACAGGCTCCTGATGCTCCTATCTTACCACCTAGAGACAATTCTTTACCCTCGAACTCTAACCACAATTCTTTGCGAGACTGTTCTCCTCCACCGTTACCGCCTAGAAGAGAACCCGGTCCCTCGCCTGGTTCACATGGTTCGCACCCGCACTCTCACCACTCGTTCGCCAATACTCTGCCAGTCATGGGACATGGCACGCTTCCTAGATTGAACCCTACTCATACATCACAACTACATATGAGAAGACATGCCACACTTCATCCCCATCCTCCACATCACCCGACTCAACCCAATGGGGGTACCAGGTAAGTGGTATTATGGTATATAGCTAATTGGTAGAGTTAATTTATTCATAAGGTGGGAAACAACCTTTCGGATTATGAAAGTAGAATGGGTGACATGAAAAAGATGGGAGAAAAACACAATAAGCCCATGAGGCTATGGAAACCAAAGTTTTTTAATGATAAATACCAAATAAATTACTGGGGAAATAATAAAATCCAAATTCGAAAAATCCCATATGAATATATCGGTAGAACAACTGATTTTAAAGGAAAGACACTATGGGAAATAGTAGGAAATCTCAAGAACTTTGGAGTCGGTCGAATAATAACTAGGAATGTTTGAAAGATACCCAGAACCATCATACATGAAAATTCTGAAGGTGGAAACCTTGCCCAATCCGGAAAAACCCTCGCATGATGATATTCGTAAAGTAAGAGTATGGGTCAAAAAAAACATTTAGAGGAGTAACTGAACCAAAAACTGTATGTTTTGAATCAGTCAGCTACAAAACAGATTATAAACTCATTCCCAAAGATTCTGAGGTGGAATATTGCAAAAAAAACTACTGAAAAACCTGTGAAAATATTTCCAAAGTATGTTGATTTCACGCCGCTGATGAAAGAGCCTTTGATAGGAGAGGCTAAATCCCTTGAAGACAGCATCGGCAGAGCAGGTCAAATTAGAGATTTTGTATAACATAATCAAATCATACAAAATAACTCAGGAAGAAGAAGAACCCAATGTTGAGATAGTAAGTGGTTTAGGAACTCTGGTTTCTCCTCGATTGTATGAAGGAGTAAAATTGTGATGAGAGTCTGAAGGACCTTTCATGTTCAGCATACCGTTTTTGGAAATTTCGACCACATTGTCCCACATTCATTGCTAACGTTCATTGATCACAAAACATTTTCATTCAAGCACATCATGAATTATAAATGCTAGAAACAAATAATGAAAAAAAGAGAATTGAACACTTTCTATGGTTTTTAACACTTTTATTTGTAACTAACGTTACTGCAGTTTCGTCCTATAAGGACGTTTTCAAACCATTCCTTGGCATGCAACCACAAGTTCCCGAATCTAAACGATATGGAAATTTTGCACTATGCAAGGAAGGGTTACAAACTCAATTATTTAGAATCCTTGGAAATTCACAAACATGAATATTGCGGGTGCAACCTGTTAAATGATCAAATCAATTTAATTTACTCACCAGTTTTAAAATTAGCATATCCGCATTGTAACTTGTAAACAAAATTCTGGTAGTCAATCAAGCCAAGTACCTCTATTATTACATACAGTGGTGCTATATAATAATAATAATAATAATCATTTATTGATGCTAACATACAGCAGTATTTAGAAAAGTCGAAAAGAAAAGAAAAAAAATACGTTATTAGATGAAAATTTACAATAAATGCATATAAACAGTATACTTGACAACTAACACTTACAGATATAAAAAAAAATGATGCACAGACATTGTTAAAAAGAATTAAATGATTTAATGCATGTCCCTAAAATTATTTTGAAGGTACTCCTCAGTGCTATAGAACGCTTTTCTTTTTAGGTATAGTTTTATTTTGTTCTTAAACTGTGTGAAAGGTAAGTTTTTTACTTCTTCTGGAAGGACATTGTACATATTTATGCAATGATAGCTAGTTCCGTCTCTAGTACGGGAGAGTCGCAAATAGTTTTGTACAATTCTTTGACTGTTTCGAGTAGAATAGTTGTGTAAATCGCAATGTCTACTATACATGTTTTGATTTTGTTTCATATACAATAGACATTCCAATATGTAGACACATGGCAAGGTAAGTATACATAGTTCCATAAACTTTTGACGACAACATTCCCGGTAACCTATGTGGGCTATAATTCTGATGCATTTTCGCTGTAAACTAAATGCTTTGGATGCGTGGGTTGAGTGGCCCCAATTTAGTATAGCATATGACATAGCTGAGTGAAAAAAACTATAGTAAGCTGTCATTAATACATTATGAGATACACTATTTACTAGATTCCTTATTAGATAGATAGTTCTTGAAAGTTTACCCGAGAGGTACGCAATATGCTTTTCCCATGTCAGGCTAATGTAATAAAGCATTGTTAGTTTGATGTATAAGTTTGAAAATGTCCTTATAGGACGAAATTGCAGTAACGTTAGTTACAAAAAAAAGTGGTAAAAAACATAGAAAGTTTTCAATTCTATTTTCTTCATTATTTGTTTCTAGCATATATAATTCATGATGTGCTTGAATCAACATATTTTGTGATTAATGAATGTTAGCATCTATTTTTGGTCCTGAATGTTTTTGAATATGATAAACTTGAAATTAACAATTTTTTTAACAATTTTTTTCTTAACATTTCCGCATTTTTCCAGTATTTCATCAACTTCATCACAACCGCCTAGTGTCTCGCCGAGAATTATTAAAGATTCTGGCTCAGGTCAAGGGACGCCCCAGCTGCCTCCCAGACCTGCAGTGAGATCAGCAGGTATTACTTACGGCACCATGTTCCAATACCCGAACACAACCACGACATAAAGATAGAAATAGATATTTTCATGATATATTTTTAAAATTGAATTTAAAACTGCAAAGGTTATGCTTATCTGGCCGTTTTGTGATTGGTCATTGATGGTGGAAATTCGAACTGAGAGCAAAATTTGGCTACAGTATTAACGCAAAAACTATATTATCTATTGCTAGAAGTTTTTTTTATTGGCCTCTACTAGTCACTACTAGGAATACTGGTATTTAAAATATCTCTGGTAGACATACTGACATTTATAATGTAAGCTAAAATGAGTATGAATACAGGGTTTGTCAATGAGTTTTTCCAAATCCGATATTTTCAAAATTGTACACATTGTATTCTCCTGTTGATTCACAAATATGATTCATTCATACTTTCAAACAATTATGAAAAGTTGATAATGTATGTTCAAGTACAAGTACAAGTTATACTCCTGTATAAAACAAGAAGTGTATTCATAAAATATGGGAGATAGCAGGTTTCATCTTATTTTATCACATTTATTGAATTCTAGAAAAATATCACAATTTTTGAAATTTCAACTGGGAAAAAGTGAACATTTTTAGTTTCATCTTATTTTATCACATTTATTGAATTCTAGAAAAATATCACAATTTTTGAAATTTCAACTGGGAAAAAGTGAACTTTTTTATTTTCAATATTTTTGTTTGTTTGTAATTCTCATTTTTTTAGCAATAGTGCTTACAACTACAACTTCAACTATGAAAATCAAAATTCCGTTACCAAGATCAGTAAAAAATTTGAGTTGTTGCTTTTAAACAGATGAATTATTTTTGCAACTGATTGTGAATGTGCTCGGACTAATAATAGCATGAGATGTTTTTGTGAATTTTCGAGATTTGAGTACAAGTTGTGCACTACAGACCATTGAATTGTTTTCCGATTTTAAATTGCACTCGTGACATCTGAGAAAGAAACACCATACTGATCTTGAGAGAATTGGCTCCCGGTCGAAGTAGCTACAACTGTAGAACTATTCTTCAGAACTTTCCAACAAAATCTAGAATTCTCTGGAAGTATTCTTTTGAACTGCAAGGTTGCCAACGTTAAAATTAGAAGAACGTTTTGGTTAAATTGACAAACTAGGTTATTGAAATAGGTTGAACAAAATTTTTCAGTTAGAAAAGTAGTTCAGTAGGCGTTAATGAATGTTTCAAAAAAACTTTTCCTACACCAGAACTATAACACAATCTCTTAACACGCGTTTCGATAACCATGTTAGCGTCATCAGGAGATGATTATCTGATTATGCAAGATTCGATTTGACTTCCCCCATTACTCCATTTCAGAGATTCCATCGACTGAGATGGAATGAAAAGTAGTAACTGGAAGAGGAATCAAAAAGCATAAAAATGATAGGAATGGTCATTCTGATATCGAAATTTAAAAAAAAACGCAGCTAGTGCTATAGTTCTGGTGTGGATAGGATTTCAAATATCAATTATATCAATGATATCGGAAAACTGTGGGTGTGTGTGTGTTTGTGTGTGATTGTTTTGCATATGCATCTCTGCTTATGTGAGGATTTGTGTGAAATTGTCGTTCAAAATCAATTCCCAACAAGGTAGTGCCATGAGGACAGTTCTGGTCAAGATAACATATAGATTTGTGAATTATATCTGCTTCAATTCAATTCAACCAAGGAGCCTTTTCCCATGAGACTAGTGAGGAGTTCACTTTCATAAGTTTAATTTTTTTTATTCATTTCACTGGGAACAGATTATTCTCAATAGCTGTTGTATTCAATTTCAATTTGTAGTTGTAGTTGTAGTTGTTCGTTAGATTTTAAGCTGTATTGTGGATATTATGAAAAAACCCAAACACAACCTTTATGAATACTTGGAATGCCAGAAAAAAAAGTTAAGATGCATGGTGTGATTTTCTTGTATATTCTGTAAATAATGTAATATACTGTAAATGTATGAGTATAGTTGCCAAAAAGTGTTATAAAAATGATGTTTTCTATGTTGAAATTTTCTATAAGAACTGGTATGGGGTGAACGAATTTTTTATTGTTTATTTCATACCAGACATAAGGAATTGTTACAGTTTAGTCTTTATTTGAGCGTTTCAGAGGTTTTCTCTCATGTTTTCGGGAGTGAAGTGATCGAGAAAACACGAGAGGATATTTTTGAATCAAAACTATTATTAAAAATGATGATTTTTTAATCTGTGATAGTAGAAAAAGGACCATTATTTGTAAAAAATAAATATATTATATGGAAATTAAGTACAATAAATGTTTAAATGTATAATTAGTTTCTTATTAAATCTAGTATATGATTTTTGGTTTAAATTCATCAAAAGTGACTCGTAAAATAGAGAACAAGAAAAAAAACATTACATTTTGCACCTTCGAAAATTACGTAATTATTGTTTACTCTGTACTTTTACAGAGGGGTTGTTTAAAAAAACTAGGTGAGTTTTCAAATTTCGCGTGCTACGTATATTCAATAAGCGATTTTTTCATTCTTTCATGTTGGTAGATTCGTCTCGAACATATGTTAATAGTTTCGGATGTATAGCATGTTTTGTTTGTTGGTGAGACACATAAAAGTTACAAGTGTTCTGGCGATTTTTTGCTGTCGAAAAAAATGGACCAAAGGATTTGTAAAGAATATTACTGGAGTTTCATCTCAACACCAAACCGTTATTTTAATACCTCGACATGTGGTTCTTGAAGATGATCGAAACACGTGTCGAGGTGTTAAAAGTAACGGTTTGGTGTTGTGATAAAACTCCAGGTGCTCAACACTCAAAATATTGACAGTGGCATACGATGATTGTACTCTGAGTTAGAATTTTTTTTTACAAGTGGACAGAAGGTCGAGAAAATGTGAATGACGACGCTTGCCCTGGACGCCCTAGCATATCAACAACCTATTAAAATATTGAGAAAGTGAGAAAACTGTTATGGAGAATCGTCGAATCACTATTAGGGAAGTTGCTGAGGACGTTGGTGTTTCTGTTGGCTCATGCCATGAAATTTTTTCGGAAATTTTGAACATGAAGCTGGTGGCAACGAAGTCCTTTTCAAAATTGCTGTATTTGACTAAAAAACCCTTAACATGAGCATCGCTAGAAATTGTTAATGACGTCATAACTGTGTATATGGTTATGACATTGAAACCAAAATCCAATTATTCCAATGAAAGAGCTCAAGAGTGCTATGACAAAAAAGCACGCCTAGTTCTATCAAATGTCAAAGTTTGGGTCACTGGTTTCTTCGATTTCAGTGGCGTAATGCCTCAGGAGTTCTTGCCACATAGTCGTACAGTCAATAAGTTGAAGCTATGCGCCACTTGCGAGAAGCAATACGAAGACCGTACGACCAAATGGTCGTACGGTCAATAAGGTGTATTATTTCAACGTTATGGGAAAAGCAATATGAAGATAACATCACGATAATGCACCTGTTCACACGTCATTGCTTGTTCGTAACTTTTTGGTCAAAAACAACACCGTGATAATGCTTTAGCCACCGTATTCAACAGATTTGGCCCCCTGCGACTTTTTCCTGTCCAAATTTCGAAAAGATCCATGAGAGGACGGCGTTTTGGGACGATTGAAGAGATACAATCCGAATCGCTGAGAGGGCTCAAGGACATACTAAAAGTACATATCAGAACTGCTTTGAGGATTGGAAAAATCGCTGGCACAAGTGTATTATATCTGAGGGAGACTACTTTGAAGGGGACAAAAAAGAAAGTGAATATATATATTAAAATTCACCTTATTTTTTGAACAGGGTTAGTATACAGTGCAATCCGGTTAAAATGTGTCACCCTGAATAAGTCAATCGATGTTGTCAGATTATAATTGTGGCTCACCACCCAAGCAAATGAATCCAGATTTTTAATGAAGCCGATTACTTCATTTGGTGAGTGATCTTACAAGTCAATTGATAAGAGTGTCAAACGTTAAAAATGTGATCCGGCCAGGAGGGCAGGCGCATAGTATATCCGCTGCTACTAGGGCCTAGGTTTCTTATAAAGAATTATCTACTCCAAGGTTGACAGACTTCTCCTCAATCTAGTGAGAACTTGACTTGGAGGCCAGTCTGCGATTATCTTCGTTAGCAAGGTAAGCAACACGATTTGTGACCTGTGTCGAACTTCAGAAAGACACCTTTCCATGGTTGCAGGGTACTAACTGCACTTACCAGCCAGGAGATGCTCTGATATTTTCAGGTAACCTGTGGCCATCCAGGCCGGAATGTGCAGCTTTAGACCGTCTTCTGAAATATGATCTATAACAGCCAAAATGGTACACTGATTAGATTTCAGTTGACTGGTTGGTATTGGGGTTGTCGGATGTATAAGGTGCTAGATTTCCTCTTTAATGACCTCAACAACCTATTCATATAGGGACTTTTTCGCCTTTAGATTGGGCGAATCATTGTTTGAGTGTAATCGTTTGCTGATCTACTGAAAGGGTGTTTGTTTTTTTCTCCTGATGCAGTTTCTGGTAATGCTTCTCAAGAATTTGGTGCAAAGTGAATTTACAAGATATCCTGTTTTCGAGAAGGTGATAAGTTGCTCCTTGGCTGGATTAGCTTGTCTACTAGGTTTGTGAATAGGAAGAGTTGGAGAACTAAGAAGATCTTGTTCTTGATCCTATGTTACTGGGATGAACTTTTTGATTACTTCTGGGACCATAAAAAGTCTCATAAGTAGCTGGAGAAAGAGATTGATTGCGGCTGAGATGTGACAAGCGACGAGAGAGCGTCTTGTATTTCGAAAGTTCCGTTACTGTCACTGGGTGGGCTCTTAGTCATTCATCTTTTCGGCACATATAAAAACATCTCAGAATGAGTCGTATTTCAGAAGACGAGAACCTATGGAGCTCTTATCTCCCCCAGTAGGGATACGCTTACGTTTCCCGTATGTATTTTTTTTAAATCCAACCAATTGGCAATGGTTGAATTCTGAAATATCTGTAACATTTTCATCTAAAATAAGATCGACTGTCGTCGATGATGATCTATTCCACGGAAAATATGGAAGGGTGTCCAAAAACTCGATGTTAATGGAATAAAAACAATAGGTTATTGAGGCATTTGATGCCATTTATTGAGTATTCAATATTACATATTATTAAAAATATGATAAAATTGTGTATAAACATATAATTTGTGCTTACAAAATGTACCTTTAAAGCGATTGAATGCCAAAAACAAGCCTCAACAAATTATTTAACAAATTATCAATGAGTAATACGTCATTTGCTGTCTTTTATTTTTCTTCTTTCCACTCTTGTATAAGTATAATGAGACGGACTTTGGTGTCATAACAAACTTTGTTTATTAGACTTTAGTTATTAAGTATTAATAGGTGAGATGAAGCGCGTGAACTTTAAATTATCCTGAAGGTTGAAAACTTTTTTAACATTTGAAAATAAAGGCAAATAAAAAATATCACAATTTTTTTCAATGGAATGTTGAAAAATTTTGAAACACAATGATGAGACAGTGAAAATTCTTGGTAATTTCTATAAATATATCTATACCTAACAAGTTTTTGAATTTACTGTGAAACCATCGATGGTTGAACGTCAAATTATAGGTTATTATTAAAAAAAAATCGAATAATAATAAACAAAGTTTGTTTTTGTTAATGTATTTGACCTTAATATTATAGAAAGTAAATTTACATCTCACTGTATTGTATTTTTAATAATAATAACAATATATCATTCAACAGTCTATGCAAAAAGCTCCAGAATTCGGGGCTGATCAATTCATTTTATACAAGACCCTTACAATACTTTGAATCAAAGTCATAGAAAAACAATTTGTTCACTTTTTCGGCTTCTTTGGGCTGCCTAGTGGCGATTCCTGTAAAAAACAATTCAATCATATTAGGGTTTTCTTGAATATCTTTCACTGATATGAGAGATCGATAAAAATAAAATCAGAAAAATAGACGAAGAGAAATGCTTATGTTCATTTTGTTGTTTAATGCATGTAGTTATCCAATGCTAAACCTTATACAAAAGATACAGCGTGTGTCACACCAAGCTTCCAATAGAAGTTTGTGAGGAAAAAGTAAAGTTATCAAGGAATGTTTCTCATGAGAGTTTTAGACTTCAATCAATTGATTGATGAATATTTTTTCCATCACATATTGAAAAGTATTTCATCAGTTCGGACTTCCATTGTCTAATATAATATAAATCGATTTGAAATCCCTGAAAAAAATAAAAGATTAACCGAAAAAAATAATTATTATTTTCGGTTAACCTTTTATTTTTTTCAGGGATTTCAAACCAATTTATATTATATTAGACAATTGAAGTCCGAACTGATGAAATACACTACGAAACATTGTCAACCACCATCAAACAAATATTGAAAAGTATTGGTGAAATTTTTGAATAGGCTGCACCCTCCGAATCCGAAAATAAAAATCGGTGCTCTTTCTTTATTTCCAGACTCTCTAGTCTCAAAAATGCAAAATTTCACCTTTCTTTTTTACCATAAAATATATAGAAAAGCACACGTTTGCATTCACCTATAACTTTCACATCTTATTTTCCATTTTTGTCTGGATTCGTTTTCTGGTGACATCCCTCCATTTGAAAGTTATAGGTACAGTAGTGACATAAAAGAGAAATGGGACTATAAAGCCATATCTGATCTTATATACCCACTAGCAATTCATCCATATTAAATGAAACAGATAAAACATTGTGAAACTTCGCTAGAAATCTGGTTGAAGTTACATTCGATATACCACTAGTGGATCATCTTGATCTCAAACAGGATGGAGCCTGGCTCCCTTACCCTTACAACTGTCGTTTGTCAGAAGGACAAATTGGTCATTACTGAATGGTGGTAGCGGCATGACAGTCCTTAGACATCAGTACCGCCCTTCACGGAGTATCCCTACCTGGCTGGGGTGAGTGGATGAAGAGATTGTTCATCCGTTAACGGGAGACATGAGGGTCTCATTCGACAGAGTGTCGGGGCCTTCTATATCGGGAGGGGTCGTCTACAGCATAATCTAAGGCTTCCCTAAATAAAGGATTACACAACACAACAAAGTTTTTGTTTCGGTGTTGAAATTAGATGATTTTAATGTATTTCCACGTGTTAAAACCGAAAGTGACCATAAAAATTATATATTAGCTCTTGTTTTCTTGTATATGTATATTGAGTTTTCAACAAATGAAATATTTCATCACCAACAGTTGGTACACATGTTTGTTTACATAACACCCCTCTCATCAGCTGTTCTTAAGTAGTAAACATAACCTATGTGAGTTTGTCAATTGTACGCACGTGGTTGCTATTGAAATTATCGTGTGAAGTTGATTTTTAAATTAATTTAAGTGCTGATCTGAAATGCCTCGAAAGTGTGTGAATTCTGTCGATAGCTTTTGCTATATATGTGGTGAAATAACATTTAAGGCTCAGAAACGTAAAATGNCTCTCTGTTTTCTTTAAAAATCGCCTCCAGATTTGTATCATTTTTAAAATCAATTAGTTCATCCGATAACTTTGCAACATCAGATCCCAATGCCGCAAGTTGTGAAGTAGTGGCTACTTCTATGTGCCAGGGATTTTCCAATAATAGAAAGACATTCCATTATTTTTCGCAAATCCTTAATTCTTTCTTGAAATTCGTTGCTCAGGGAAACTAAGTAATTAGAAATAGTAGTATAGTTTTCTGGGGACACATCAGTTCCATCTTGTTGATCTTTTATCAATATTGAAAAGTAGAAGAATGTAGTTTTTTAATATTAATTTCTTCGATGTACATCTCCAGCTTGTCTTCGAAAGCAAATACTTTACTTGCCAACTGTGAAATAATTTTATGTTCACCTTGTAAACGACGATTGATTTCACCAAGTTTCTCTGTTATATCGCAAAGAAATGTTAGAAGACACCAACAACTATCTTGCTCAGTTCGCTGTAACCTTTATTATTTTGTTGTAGAAACAAAATTATTTCGTGCCGTAAAGCATAAAAACGTTCTAAAACTTTTGTTCTACTCAGCCATCGTACTCCGGTATGTAAAACATCGCCATTCTCACTTCCCAATTCTTCTAACAAATTCTTGAATTTCCTATGGTTAAGTTCTCGTGCTCTTATAAAATTAACGATGTTAATAACGGTTTTCATCAAGTCGTCAACTTCCGGTATGGTGGTACGCGCCACAAGATTTTCTTGGTGTATGATGCAGTGAAATGATAAGATATTCATGTCATATTTCCTTTGCAAGAGAGAAATAAACCCAGTCTTATTTCCTGTCATAGACGGGCAGCCATCCGTGCATATAGATACCAATCTTTTAATATCAATGCCATTTTTCTCCAAGAAAGTATAAATAATATCAATATAATCACTTCCTCTTGTATGTCCTTTCATTGGCAAACATTTGAGAAAATCTTCACGGATCGTATAATCTTCACTACAGTACCTTACAAACAGAGAGCATTGTGATGTTGATGGAACATCAGTGCTCGAATCAAATGATAATCTGAAATATTAACAATTCTTCAAGTCGTCTATGACATGATCAAAAATATGTTTCGAAATATCTTCAATTCGCCTAACGCAGGTGGAATCTGAGAGCTGTAGTTTCCTGATTTGTGACATTATCTGTGGTTTGTTGCAAAACTTTTCAAATAATATATTTGAAGCATTTACAAAACACTCCTTCACAATCTCAGCTAAATGGTTTCATATGTTTTCCTAGTAAATAACAAATTTCGTAGCACGCTCTCGTCATTGAAACTGACATATTTTGCTGCTGCTGTAACGACTTTTTCAAGACGCATAGCTTTTATTTTCGCTATGCAGAGCCGATTGGAAAACTATCGCTAAACATTTTATGTTTTGTATTATAATGTCTCATTATATTATATTTTTTTAATATCACACTTTCTCGACAAATCAAATAAGTTCTTGAACTGTGTTTGTTAGGTATAACAAAATATTCTTCCTCTAAATAGTCTTGAAATAATCTATTTTTGTCAGAAATCAAACGCTAAAAATGTGATC